ATATATATATATATATATATATATATATATATATATATATATATATATATATATATATATAATCTCAACAGTTATAATCCAAGCCTTTGGAAAGTTTGAAGGTCTAAGAAGAGGTTGACTTACTACTGGCTTAGGAGGCCTTCAATTCAGCAGGGGCAGACAGGGTTCTGTGTAAAGAGGGAGGTGAGTAAGGTGGAGGATTATGAAAGATTGCTGAACGATGGGAATCAAAGGGCTCTTTCAGAATATGGAGGGATTCCTCCTCTAAGACCTGGAGGGAAAGGAAGGAGCTAATAGGAAAAATACAGAACAGTTGATAGCGCATAAAGCTGGATGAGAGCAAATATATATATATATTTTAAGATTTTATTGGGGAATTGGGGGAGGAGAATAGCGTTAGGGAATCGGGGAAGGGGACCAGCCAAGTTGCTGTCCTTTTGTTCTTCAGTCTCGTTGTGGAGGACGCCGCTCCACTGGCCCATGTTGGCATTATGATCATTGCGCTCTTCCCGGCTGAGGCAGTCGGAGAGCAAATATTTTTAATAAGGTAGGTAACTTGTGGAGTGCGAGTTCAGCAAGGCGAGGCTTTACGAGACTTTACAAAGGACGCGGCCGTCTTGATTTGAAGAGGAGTTGAAGAAGTGAGGACCGTCAATAGAAGAACAGATCTGGGTTACTCTTTTATACAGTGAACTGATTGTTCAGAAGCAACTGCCGGGTGACCTCTGGAAGTTTCTCCCAGCATTTTCATTCGAGGATTTCATGAATACTGTATGTGAACATCTTATTGACAACAGGATGCAACACAGCTCCACAGCTTCCTGGTGTCTGCACCGTCTAGGAAGGAAGAAATATACGTGCAAGAATAATATGTATCCTACGTACTTAAAACCACTGGTTGAAAGAGTCAGAAGAAAAAGAAGGAAGTGTATCTGAGAGGGTAACCATCACCAGGGATAATTTTGGTGCAGATCTTGATAACTAAAGCTGACCCTGGAGTGGGGTGGGGGTTCCTCTAAAGCAGATGCTTTTGCACACACACACACACACACACACACACACACACACGCCTCCATAAGCAACGTCTTGAGACATTTTTAATGGTCACAACTGGGTGGCATTGAGTAAGTAGAGACTTCGGACACCGCTCAACATCCTCCAATGCGCAGGACAGCCCCCTACAACAATGATCCGGCCCAAAATGTCATGAGTGCTGAGGTTGAGAAACCCTGTTTTGAAAAAACCTTGAGAAAGAACCTGGTGGGAGAACCAAGTGTACCTGGTGGCAGGTATCTTGGTAGGAGGGGAGCTTTGGACAGGTGTGGCAGACACGCTTGGTTGGGTGACCCAACCCCCATCCCCAGTCATCTTCACCTCCCTTTTTGCAGCCACTTTTAAGAAACGGGTAGTCACATGACAGTTCTGGGCAATGAAATGCAAGAGATTTTGCTGGATGAGGCTTCTGATAAGATACCCTTGGGGTGGTATCTTCTTCCCCTTTCTGTTCTTCCTGCCTGGACCAGGAACCCGCCACCTCAAGGTGCAGTCGCCGCATTCAGTGCCATGAGAACTAAAGAGAATGCAGCCAGAAAGAGCTGGGGAAGATTTCGCCCCAGGGGGGACATTTGGCAATGTCTGGGGACATTTCTGGTTGTCACATGGGGGGGGGTGCGACTGACATCTCGTGGATAGAGACCAGGGATGCTACTCAACATCCCACACAACCCAGGACAGCCCCCACCACAAAGATCGATCCAGCCCGAGATGCTAATAGTGGGGGAACTTTGCTCATGGAGAAAGCATGATGGAGCTGTTGTGAGAGCCCTGGATTGCCTGCCTGAGGGTTTCTTGTAATGGGAAGCAAAAAAAAAGAAAAAAAAATTGTTTAAGCTCCCAAGTTCTGTCTGTTATTTGTGGCTGAATGAATTCCAAGTTGCTACAGCAGGAGGAGCCCTCTGATTTAAGCCTGTCACAGGGCAATCTCCAGATGACAATTTCCTTAGATTATTCTTACCGGCACATGCCACAGTCGTACAGGACGTCCAACCCCATCTTTGAAGCACAGAGAGAACAGCCATTCGGTGGCTTCTTTCGCAAGAAGATGCCAACACCAACGGTCCCCTCCACCCACGTCGCCAGTAGGGTCGGCTGGGTCCAAGATCACAGGCCTACACATGAGGTTAGGAGGCACGAGAGACATGCTGTTTAGAACCCGTGGCCTCAGAATCGGGGGCCCATTCTCTCAGCAATAGAACCACGTGTCCTTGTATCTTAGATGTCAGGAATCCAAATGTATTTCTACAGTTCAAAGTAATTTCCTAGCGTGAAAGGACACTTGTCAAAAATGCTTTGAAAGCTGTTAATGATTATGAAGGCATCAGTGAAACATCTCCCCTATGTCAGTGCCTTACTGGTGGAGCTGAGTGGATACACTAAGATTCCTTCGGGTTCTTATAGGATAATGGTTTTGTGGGATGCAGGTCGGAAAGGGTAGACAAAACCTGATCTAATAAAAAGCCTGTAGGATAAACGGGCCTAGGAATACAGTGTTATTTCTCAGGGACACACTTCCAAACACCTCTTAGACCTGCTATAATAATAAATCCACGCTTTCCCTTCCGACCTAGAAAGATGAAGGCCACTCGGGAACCTGGCGCCGTAGTCTATTCCTTCTGGATGACATTTTCTCCTGTCTCCCTAGGGTTTTACTCCTGGAGACGGCGGGAGGCTCTGTTGGTTAGCACCTTCCCCCTTCGGTTTCACACGAGGATAAAGAATCATGACCCCCGCGGGAGGAGAATCCAGGTGGCCGAGATAGTGTTGGAGGGAATCAGGTTAAGAAAAAGAGAGGGGGAGGGTGGGATAGGGGGTTCGGGTCACCTGGCTTTCTGGATCTGGGTCAGTAGGAAGTTCCTCACAATCTCATTCTCAAAGTTGTAATTGACCGTCCAGAAGATACAGAGCTGCCGATGTTGTTTGACCAACTCCAGGACAGTCCGGAAACCTTCCGCGGTGTCAAAATCCTGCAGCCCACTCCCCTGCTCCCAGGCGTAGATGGTGAGCAGCTCCAGGGCGTACTTGGGGGGCAGAGACCCCTTTTTCTTCAGTTTCCTTTCACACTGAAGGAAGAAGGGGAGCGTCAGACGATAGTGGTCCAGGCAGGAGGCGTGAGGAGCCCAGCGAGACCCCCAGAGACTGCACATTAAGGACTACCGGGGCCACAGGAGGGCACCTGAGTCCCGAGATGCAGGGTGGCTGGAACTGGTCTGGGGAGGTTTGCAGGTGTTCACATAGCAGTTCTCAGGCAGCCTGCGGAGGTTTCTTTATTGTGATTTGACCATGGAGGACCTCCTAGAGTTATACTACTGCTACCATTTACTGAACACCCACTGTGTGCTAATTATGGGGCCGGACATTTTACCTACGTCATCCCTAACCCCCCCCCCCCCAGCCACCCTACACAGCAGGCATTATGATCGCCATTTTAGACGAAGCCAGGGAAGTGCTCAAGGTCACCCCGCAGTCCTGAGCCCTCTGAGCAGTGGAGTCATTTCTCTTGTTTCCTGGGATGGGGGCCGCAGGGCTCAGCCTCCATCTCAGGCTTCAGGGAGCTGGACACAGCAAGGCGACACCTCAGGCAAACGCCGATATTGTGCTGGATGTTTGCTGTCGTGAAAATACTCAGAAACTACCCTGTGTGCAGGACGGCTGATGGAAGTGAAGGTTGGCGAACCGATACTATAGAAAATACAGCCCTGGGAACCACCTGTAGCTTCAACCTGCTTTCCAGGAGATAGCATCTCTGTCTGTTAGTTATGGGCACCCAGCAGCGGGTCAGCCAGGCTGGAGACTTGTAGGCATGCACACCCAGCTTCATCTGCCCTTGGCAGGCAGGGTAACTTAGATTCCTGCAGAATTCTTTGGGTGTCAGAGCAAAGGCACACTAAACCCCATGTCGCAGCTTTGATGGTAGGAGGTGCTCTCCACCCAACCCAACTAAATGGGGTTAGTGATGGGAACGCCACAAAGATCCTCAGAATTACGAAGTGGACAGCCCCCAGCATGGGAGCGTGTGGGCACACAGGGCACTGGGTAAGTGCTGGTTTCACGATCACAGAGAACTGATCTAAATAATAAGCAGATGGCTGGAACAAAGACTGTCATACCTGTTTGTACCAGTGCTTCACCAGGCGAATTAAATCCTTCAGTTTGGTGGGTCGAGTGCTAATAAAGTCACGCTGCAGCTCCGTAAAACAGGTAGAAAATTCTCCCTCCGAGAAGTTTGAGGACTTATACAGACGGATGAGCTCAGTGTAGGCCCTGGGGTTGGGTACAGAGCCATATTTCAGTTCTCCTAGGATGGGAGAGATATATTTACATTATGCCTTAATATGTATAGAAAGTAAGTTTTTGAAACATGTTTGACAAATATTTAATTCAGGGAAACTATTTTGAACTCAATTAGTATATTTGAATTACTATGTCTAAGATATTGGGAACATCTCTGGAGTAATGATATCTAGAGCATAATTCATTCTGGAAACAAACTACTCGTATTGCAAGACATCGCTCGTTTACCAAATTAAAATGTATTAGAAATGTTTGCTCATCTTGCAAAAGACTCGCAAACCACGTTATTCGAAATCCAAAGTTTTACTGTATTTAAAAAAATGAGATGGTCTATATGAGTACAGGTGGTATTATTAAAGTATTTATCTAGTTTTGCACTGTCCAATAGGACAGCTGCCAGCCCATGTGGCTATTTGCATTTAAATTAATTAATGGAAAATCAAATTAAAAATTTAGTTTTTCAGTCATGCTAGCCACACTTCAAACTCTCAATAGATAGAACAGAGATATAGAATATTCCCATTATCATAGAAAGACCTTTTTGGACAGCACTGAGTGGGAGTTTGCTAACTATGGCCCCAGTCTAAATCTGGTCCACTATTTGTTTTCTTACGTTTCTCCTTCTTCTTTTTCAGCTGAACCATCCTGCCACCTGTTGGCAGCTCAGCGGCAGCTCAGCTTGGGCCGGGACTCAAACAGCTGTTGCTCAGAGCTCGCACTCTAGAGCGAGCTCTTCCCTAACTGAGCCACTCGACCAGCCCCACTATTTGTTTCTGTAAATAAAGTTTTATTGGAACTGCCATGCCCATTTGTTAATGTATTGCCTGTGGCTGCTTTCAGGCTACAATGGTAGGGTTGAGTAGTTGTGACAAATACTGTATGGCTCTCAAAGCTGAAAACATTTGCTATCTTGCCATTTACAAATAAAGTTAGCCAACCCCCAACCTCTACTATTATTTGCACTCGGAGAGACACTAAGAACCATTCAGAGGGAAGGTTCCAGAGTCTTCTTGATTTGGATTTGGAAAATGCCGGAAATAGCTTTGGTTTCTTTGAGGACTTCATTATGTATCTGTCACCCATGAATTGAATTTCTAAAGGACCTTGTTGCCTAAGATTGAAGCTAAACACCCAGGTTTCCTGACTTTGTCTCAGAATTCCTCCCACAGCCTGTTCTTTAATTTCCTTCACTAACACTTAAGGCATTTGATTTATAAATGTATAGAGAACGCCTGTGCACCCATTGATAGATATTGTGAGTGACACCACAGGAGAATAAGGTGTGGGTTCTGGTCATCTTGCGATACTTACATGGGGAATGAGAATGTATACAGGTGTAAGGTACAGAAAGACCCCCTTATCCGTGAGGAATGTGCTCTAAGACCCCCAAGTGGGTGCCTGAAACCATGGATAGTACCAAACTCTATACATACTATGTTCATTTCCTGTATATACATACTTCTTTTACTTAAAGGATGCGCTTTTGGGCTTCTCTTTGGCATATCTGAATTGCCAGCATCACCACTCCTACACCTTGGGGCCGTTATCAAGTAAAGGAAGGGTGACTTGAACCCAAGCATCGTGATACCATGACAGTTGACCTGATAACTAAGGTGGCTAAGTGGCTAATGAGTGGGGAACGTACACAGTGTGGACTCGCTGGGCAGAGGGAGGGGTCACATCCTGACTAAGACAGATCAGGACGGGGTGAGATTTCTCCACACTGCTCAGAACGGCATGCAATTTCAAACGTATGAATTGTTTATTTCTGGAATTTTCCACTTAATATTTTCAGACCACAGTTGATGGCGGGTAACTGAAACGGCAGAAAGCGAAACCATGATGGGCTAAGGGGTGGGGCACTACTGTATTGCTGCCATTATGAATGCCACCTGCTGGGGGCACTGGACCCATGACCCGTTACTAAAGCACGTGTCTTTCCCTCCACTCCCTCCACCATTATTCCAGACCCTATCCCCCTCCTCCGGACGCCAAGGTATGGGGAGTCCTACCTAGTGCGTTAAATGCAGGCAGCACATCAAAGTCGACACTTTCGATGAATTCTTTGGATTTTAGAGAGAAGCTCAGCACCCTGGGAGCCTTCCATTTTGAAATCTCAAACTTCACTTCAAACTCCTTCTCCTGCTGACAGGTTTCTAGCTGTTTTTGGATTTCCTTGATGATGTAGTGTCTCTCTGTGTTTTGGTCGGTGTAGCTTTTAAGTGAGCTGACGAACACGACAAGGTCGGCGTCAGAACCAGTCTTCAGAGTTGTGCCTTTGCCGGCCGACCCTCCCTACGGAAGTAAGGCAAGTTAAGATACAGCACTTCCTAGACCGGGAGCCCTTCACCCCCCATGGACTGGCACCGGTTGCCCTGGGTGGGTTCCAAGTTAGGGTCCAGTGAGGGCTGAGACCAAAGCGGAGTGTCTCATTTTTCAACACGAATAGAATGATGTGGTTCCAAAGGCAATTGTTCTCACACCCTTTGAGCTGCTTATTTACACACGAACAACCGATGGGTTTGTTAACATTATCTCCTTCTCAAGCCAACTCCCTAAAGTTGTCTCCTAAAACAGATTTCACTTTGACTTCCTGTGACCTGACAGAAATCCAACTGGATTCTGTTAAAAGTTCTCATCTGTCCTCTGATTCATCCGTTTTGTTTTTTTTTTCCTGTAGCCAGAAACGGATCATTGGATCATTGGGGGTCATTGGATGAATAGTCACAATTTAGGCACAGGGGTTGGCGGACTTTTTGTAAAGGGTCAGGTAGTAAATATTTTAGGCTCTGCGGTCTTCATTTATCTCTTTCGCAAAGGCTTCTCCACTTCCTTCCTCACCTCACCCGGGAAGAGCGCAATGATGGTGCCAACTTGGGCCAGTGAAGCAACGTCCTCCACAACTAGACTGAAGAACAAAACAACAGCAACTTGTCTGTTCCCCTTCCCCCAATTCCCCAATAATTAAAAAAAAATCTTCAAAAAAAAAAAAAAAGAAAGTATGTTGTCAATGGCAGAAGCTTCCCTCCCTCATCCTTTGCCCTCAAGCCTCTGGTGGGAGGTGAGCATTACAGAGCCTCAGACACTGCTTAGCACCCTGCCAGTAATACCCCTTCAGAGAAAGGGCAGTGCTCACCTTGACAGCCTTCTGAACCTTTGTAGGTGAATCTCTAAAGCAGTTTTCTTTAAGGAATTTACAGATGATGTCAACAGCTCTGCGGAGCTGCTTTAGGAAGCGTTCGTTGGGCTGGAGAAAGTCCTTGATGAACTTATCCAGAAGATGACCCGGGGTCTCCTGGAGCGGTGCTGGCTGGGGAAGGGAGAAGATCCCCATGGTGAGCGGCCCCCTGCCAGCCAGCCAGGTAGCCCCAGGCTTTCTTCCCTGCCTGTTTCCCTGCCCGTTGGGGGATGGGGCTCTGCCTACCTCTCCCTCCTGCTCTCCCACCCTCATGCGGGTACCTCTGTGGTCTTCTTGCAGCGACATATCCCAGGAACATACCTGAGAGTTTAAGATGGTACCCAAGTTCCACCAGAAACAAAACTCTCCTAGTTGCTTCCCCTTACCCCCTAGGAGAGATCTGGAACCTTCTGACGCGTTTCTTCACGCCCTGGACTCCAAACTGCCCTCTAGTTTCCACTCCCAGTTGCGGCCGCATCTACTGAGGGCTTCCCTAAGTGGTCTGTTCCTCCCTTATTTTCCTGTGTCCTGTGGCAGTTATAGGTTTCTGATGATCACACTCATTTCTTTTTTCAGGGTGCTACCAGCCTCTGTTAAACATGCTGTGCCCAGGTCGATGGGTTTCCCAGGCTCGCCATAACAAAAACTGGGGGTGCTTAAAAACAACAGAAATGGATTCTTTCACAGTTCTGGAGACTAGAAGTCCAAAATCAAAGTGTGGGCAGGGCTGTGCTCTTTCTGAAGGCTCTAGGGGAGGATCCTTATATATATATATATATATATATATATATATATATATATATATATGTATAATCACCTCCTCTTTTTAAAAATATTTTATTGGGTTGGGGAACAGCCATGGTCATTGGTTACACATTGCTTTCATGCTACAATGACTACAAAGGAGGGCAAAGCTCACAGTGGCCCATGCAGGGATTGAACCGGCAGCCTTGGTGTTATCAGCACCATGCTCTAACCAACTGAGCTAACCGGTCACCCAGGGAGGATCCTTTCTTGCCTCATTCAGCTTCTGGTGGCCCCAGCAATCCTTGGTGTCCCTTGGCTGGTAGATGCATCACGCTGATCCCTGCCGCTGTAGTCACATGGCCTTCTCCCCTCTGTACCTATGTCTCTGTGTGTCTTCCTATAAGGACACTGGTCATTGGATTGTGGGTCCACGTGAATCCAGGATGACCTCATCTTAACCAGTGATACCTGCAAAGGTGTCCTTCCTTCCTTCCTTCCTTCCTTCCTTCCTTCCTTCCTTCCTTCCTTCCTTCCTTCCTTCCTTCCCTTTCTCCCTTCTCTCTCTCTCTCTCTCTCTCTCTCTCTCTCTCTCTCTCTCTCTCT